GGGCTTTTGGATACCTTTTTCTGGGCAGAACAAGCCCGAAAAAGGACCCAGATTAACACAGGATTAACCCTTAAAAACAACAGCCTGTTGCATATTCATGCACCTCTTTAGCGATGCGTAAATTCCATTTAAATACAGGATTCTCTCTGGTCAGTGTCAGCTTCTTCCTTCCAATCCTAACAGCGCCTTTGAGGCGGGAAGAAGTTCATTTCTTCTGATAATGGGGCAATAAATTCTCTTTTTCTGAAAGATTCAGGTGTCCTGTGGCTGCTATCTCCCTGCAATCCTTTCTTTTAAAAAAGTGTCCTACGTAGCATCGTTTCTATCTTAACATTTTTTATAACCTAAAACTATATTTACCCCACTACTCAAGAGAATTAACACAGCATCACCTTCTAACACAACACGTATAACATTCACTTTAATATTTGCCAAAAGCCGATAATAAAATGCACATTTTTCACACACAGCCGCAAGGATTCTCCTTTCTGCAGAGGCAGCGCATTCCTGCTCTCTGCGTGTTCCTACCTGCAGGGAGGGCAGCAATTGCTGGGGCTGGTTTGGTGTTTCAGGGCTCTGGAATCCTTTTGGGAAGTGGCAGAGCCTGCTGCTTCCCAGGAAGCCTTTAAAAAATAAACAAACACCGAGATTTAGAGAAGAAAAAAAAAAAAAAAAAATCCCATTTCAAAGCCTGGCTTTGAGGGGAAATTCAGTTTTACTGAGAAGTCTTGCAGGCTGGGAGCAGTTTGGGATCACCACATCTCCCAGATCTTCCAGATGAGCCCAGATGTTTCTCCTGGTCATTGCTCAGTGGTTTTAAAAAACCTGGGCTCATTTATGTCCCCAAAAAATCCATCAGGGCCTCTCAGCCCCCCAAAGGGTCAGGATGGAGCCCCTGCCACCCCCAGAGGGTTTGGGGACAGCGTGGTGGCACTGGCTGCTGCTTTTGCCACAATTTTTTTATAATTTACACGTAATTGTGTAATGACCCCACAGACACCATCAAACCCTCTACAAACACAGGGATGTTGGGAGAAATGAGGGATTTGGCACCCACAGATTTGGGGGAGAACTTTTCCTGTGTCCCAGGAGGGAATTCAGCCCAGCATTGTCCAGACAGGGCTCAGGGGACAATTTTCTGTCCTTGCCCCGCTCCAGGGAGCTCTGAGCATGTCACACATCTTTCACAGCCCCAGCCTTTTGCTCCTACTTTGCCCACAGGGGTTTTTTTTGGGTTCTTTTTGGGTTTTTTTGGGGTTTTTTTTGTGGCTTAATTCTTCACATGAAAAATGGATGGGATTCAAGAAGTGAGAGCTGGCTCTGACTTTTACAAGGGATTAAGAAATCGTTTTCCAGGCTGCTTTCCTCTTTTTTACTGCGGGACCACAGAGTATCTCTGGGATCCTGCTGAGTCAGCACAGGG